AAAAAAAAAATAAAATGCACATGTGGGGCCAGGTGGAGCCCACTGGGTAGCGCTGTCTGAGCTGTACCCTCTCTTACTTCCACAGACGCCTGGCAGCGCTGGGTCCTGGCTGGGGCCCTGTGTGCTGGGGGCTGGGCAGTGAACTACCTGCCCTTCTTCCTCATGGAGAAGACACTCTTCCTCTACCACTACCTGCCTGCACTCACCTTCCAGATCCTCCTGCTCCCTGTGGTCCTGCAGCACGCCAGTGACCACCTGTGCAGGTGAGGGGCTGTGCAGACCGCTGCTGGCCCGGGTGGCCAGGACCCCTCAACTTCACACAACGCACCATGCAGGGTCCAGGAGTCACAAATACAGATTTCAGCATAGTGCAGTGTAAACCAAATCACCAGAGGCAGGGACAAGGAGGAATTCAGAGATGGAAGGGGCTGAGTGCATGGAAAAGAGGGGATAGACACAGGTGGCCAAGAGCAAGGGCAGGGACCAGCGAGCCTCAGGGTATCTCCACAACAGCAGCAGTTGTGATGCTGGACCAGGTGATGGCTGGACCGTGGTGCACATGGAAGGGAAAACCTGAGAAAGCTGTGAAAGTGGATCGTATCCCAGGAGCTGGAACAAGGCTGTGAGATGGCGACACTAGGCTTGCAGGCCCGTCCTCTGGGAGCCACATTGATAGCCCAGAAGCTATGGTAATTCTAGAAGTCCTGGGAGGAGGGTCACTCTTGGTACAACCAGGTAAATGGTCTCAGCTGGAAGGAAAATAGAAAGGACAGGGCAGGTCTAGAAACCTGCAGGTAGAATCCACCTGCCTTGGTCAGTGACCATGTGGACAGCAGATGCCAAGAGGATATCAGGTAGGAAGCTACAAGGAGCTGGCTATCCTCACCACTCAGTGCTGCCACCCACAGGTCCCAGCTCCAGAGGAACGTCCTCAGCGCCCTGATTGTGGCCTGGTGCTCCTCTGTGTGTCACGTGTCCAATGTGTTGCGCCCCCTGACCTACGGTGACAAGGAGCTTTCACCAGATCAACTCAGGGCCCTCCGCTGGAAAGATAGCTGGGACATCTTGATCCGAAAATACTAGAACATATGGAGAATGTCTGCACTGGATCAGGACAGTTGCAGGCCTCTTGTTACCGTGTTCAACAAGCAGAGGCTCCACCAGTGGAGACTGGCCTTGCCCACAGCCACAGGTTGGTGTTTGGCCTGATGGCCCTGACCCTCCCTCATGAACATTCCAGGGCTTGAGCAGGGCCCTAGCCCTGCCTTGAGTGCTGGCCCCAGTATTACCAGGAGGACTCTCAGATAAGCTGTCTGAATGAGCCTTTGATGAGGTTCCCGTGGATTCCCTGTTGCAGCCTTGAGACTGTCACTCTGCTCACTGCTGCTGTGCTCTACAAAGTCCCCTCTGTGAGTCTATGCTGAGACACGTATGAGTGGCATGGTTTGTGTCATCTGAACATTTCCTTATCCCAAATATCTATGTCTTATATAATTAAAACAAAGACAAATTAGCGTTCGTATTTGCTGTTATTTATTGGTTCCTCTCCAAAAGGGTCTATGCTTGACAAAACTGTTAACAGTTTCAGAAACCAACTCTGGAGCTCACCTCAGCTCAAGTCTGCATAACTATGAGTTACACTGGACAGAAAGAAGCTCAGAGCTGCCTGTGCAGTTTGGCTGGTGACAATGACAAAAGATACTTTACAGAAACAGCCATCATGTGGGAGAGAAGACAAACTTGAACACAGACACAGGAGATCATCTGTAAGGACTGTGAGCTCAGGGCTGGTGTGAGGGAGTCCGGCCAACCACAAGTAGCCATGCTCACTAGACCTGGCACATGCCCTGGGTGTGGGTGTGAGCCACACTGGGGACAGCCCGTCCACACAGCACCTTGGTGTGGAACTCCTACTGGTGGGTGGGAGGGCTTGGCCCCAGGTAGGACTGCTCAGCCGCCATTGGCTCCCGCCAGGAGACCTGACTGCTGCCCTCACACTGCACAGGCTCCTGGGGCCTGGACCGCAGGAGCCCTGCCTCTTCTCTGCCATTGACACACAGGGGAGGAGGAGGGAGCCATCTTGCTATGGCTTCTCACATCAGTGTTTGCCACTCTTGATGGCAACCATGAAATTAGGCTCATAGGTCACAACCAGCCTTGTGCTATGATACAGAATAAAATAGAAAACATTAAGACATGTAACACGTAAAAAAGGAAAAAATTCTCTGATAAAACATTTTAGTTACATGTACATGTGAACCACATCCAACTAGAAAACCTATCTCTGGGTTCACCTGAAACACCACCAGGCCAGCCATGGTACCTAAGCTATTATCTTGGTTTCCCCAACAACATGCGACTTGCGTCCCTTGCAAAGCAAACAGGTTTACTGTACATTCTGTGGCATTTCTCAGTGGCCCAAGTAGTTTTTAAACCTGAAACCTGAGGAAGCAGGTGGAAACTTCAGGAACGCCCTGTCAATATCTCAGCAGATTCGATTTGAATGACATGTCTGGGTTTCCACTCAAAAGGGAGGCCTTGGTCCTAATGCTGCTCTCGGATGTACACCGAGAGGAAGCAATGAGTGTGTTTCCCAGGGGCAGGAGGCATCTCCAGGCCTAGTCCCTGAATATATATTTCTGTCCCCCAGGAGGCTCAGGGAATAGTACCCAAGCACCCCTCAGTGGGGTCTGCTGCTGGACTCCAAGTGTGACCGTTTGCCAGAGGTCAGCATCCCAGAATGGTCTCCTGGCTCAGAAAAGGTCCTCTTGTAGCTCCGCCCATTGGACCCTCCTCGGTGCCATTTGCAGATGTCGCCGTTGAGGATGTCCTGGATGTGCTGGACAATCAGGTTGATGGCCACTGCAGCAGGAGACACAAAGGCAGCGTGTTAGCTATGTCTTTTTCTAGTCAACGCACCCAGTTCCACACTCCCAGTAGCAGCACTTGGCCAGGAGTGACAGTCAGACTGCCATGCACTGAAGCACAGGACTTCAGCTCAGGCCTCTGCCTGGTACCATGTCTCAGCAGACAAATGCACATCAGGACACAAGCACAGTAAGATTTGCCCACTTGGTCTTCTGTTGAGGGGTTATGTTAAAGCCTTATATAAATGGCTTGGCGCCTGTGGCTCAAGTGGCTAAGGCACCAGCCACATACACCTGAGCTGGTAGATTTGAATCCAGCCCGGGCCCGCCAAACAACAATGATGGCTGCAACCAAAAAATAGCTGGGCGTAGCAGCAGGCACCTGTGGTCCCAGCTACTTGGGAGGCTGAGGCAAGAGAATTGCTTAAGCCTAGGAGTTGGAGATTGCTGTGAGCTGTTGACACCATAGCACTCTACCCAGGACAACAGAGGCTGTCTCAAAAAAAAAAAAAAAAGCCTTATGTAAAAAATACTTTTTCACTGTACCCCATGAAAGTATTAATGTACACTGTTGTGATTTAATAAAAAAAATACAAAAAAAATACTCTGCCAATAAGTGGCAATCCCTCTCAAATAGTTTAAAATACACTTTTTAAGCATGTTTTAAACCAGTGCCACAGATAAGTACAAGCCTCATGCTTTGGGAATGCCCAGTAGCTGCAAAAGGGTGTCACGGCCTTGGCTCTGGGAGAGGGACAGGAGCTGGGCAGTCCATGGGGCTAAACTCTTACCCATGTTGTCAACCCCACGTGGGATGATCACATCAGCATACTTCTTTGTCTGCAAGGCACAAAGGAGGTTCTTGTGAGGATTTTTCCATCAAAGGTGATTTTCAGGTGCTTGGAATTAGATGCAACAGCAGAAGGGATACTCCTTGGGTCTGCCAGTGTCATCAGCAGATGGAGGACAGGGACTCAGCTCTCTATCCAATATGAAAGACAGTGATCCAGGTAGTGAGGCAGAAGGTAAATCTGAGGCAGACAAAAGAAACTGCCAGTTCTGGTATCTCTGAATCACTCACTGTTCCTTTCTGTGAAGAACACTGCGAGGGACAGCTGTCCATGCTAACAACTAAATGCACTGGGCCAAGCCAAGCATGGCACCTACAATGCAGGACATTGTTCCTCTGGAATTATGAACCTTTCTGCAAAAACCCTGGGAGCAGGCCAAGCAGGACACAGCCTGGACAATCCACTGACTGCATGGTGTCGTGCATGCAGACACCCCAGGACAATGCTCACCTTCCTTCCTTTATAAGCTCCTTTGCTCTAATTATATTAGTACCTACCTATTCCCTGTCAGATACTCTGCTAGGGGCAGACAGAAAGAACAGGAAATGCGGGGCCAATGTGGAGGGACCCCAATGGGATGGTGGGAGACTATGGGAGGAGGCTGCTGTTTGGGGGGACACACCTGAACCAGGCAAATTTGGGGCAGCAGGGAGGGCACAGTCCGGGCCAAGGGACAGACCTGCAAACTGTGTGGTGCTGCTGGCATGTGGATTTGGGTCAGGAAGACATAAGAGTTGAGCTGCAGAGGCAGGCAGGGCCCAAGTCCTAGGGATAGCTGTGTCGGCAGACAGTGGAGCCCCATCCCAGGAAAGCATGTGAGTGAGGGCCAGGGTGGTTTCCACACTGATCATCTGATGGGGGGGCGCAGACCTTGGGTTAGAGGGGACTGGAAAAGAGGAAGTCCAGAGGCAGCAGGAGCCCAGGAAAGGGTTGCTAAGGGTCTGCTAGCAGAAGTGGGAGAGGGATGTAGTCAGGATATATTTTTTTAAGACTCCTGGGTCAGAGATAATAGGCAGGACATATTTGAAAGGTTGGGTTAGTAGGACCACACAAGTGAGTGAACAGGAAGGGTGAGGGAGAAGGAGGCTCCAGAACCACGCTGGGACTTGGCCCAGGAGGGGGCAGGCAATGCCACTTCCCCTGCTCAGGGTCTCTTGGTGAGATTTGGTGTCCAAAGTTTTACTGCAAACCACCTACTTTGCCAAATGTCTTTCTGTGAATATAAGGCATTGGTGGTGTAGTGGTGAGCAAAGCTGCCTTCTAGTTAATTTACTTTTCAAATTACTTTTCAGAAACTTCAGTGAACATGAATGTTAAAATGTTTAAACAGCAGTAGGTAGAACTTATTTGTCTTACTCATTTAAGGCAGGAATCCTGGTTCTGCTTCTTTTGTGCTGTATTTTTACCTTTAAGAGGCAAAATATTGTTAATTTTTTTTTTAAACAATCTAACTTGAGTAGAGCCACAGTCCCATCAAGTAAAGAAGAAGTTTGGGCCAGTGCCTGTGGCTCAAAAGGCTAGGGTGCTGGCTCCATATGCCACAGGTGGTGGGTTCAAACCCAGCCCTGGCCAAAAAAATAAAAAAAAAAGTAAAGAAGTACAAGGAGGATAAGACAGACTAACAGGGAATTCCTTCTCTGTATAAGCCAGTGGATCCTGGAATGCCAGCCCAGAGGACATATGCCCTGCAGGAGCCACTACCGAGAACCTATCAGGACAGCGAACAGACAGAGAAGCCTCTGCTCTCATGGAGCTTACAACCAAAATGGGGAATAAACGAAATACACATCACACAGCGGAGCATGAGGGTGCCCTGGAATAACAAAGCAGGAGAGCAGCTGGGGAGGAGTTTTCAGCGGTAAGCTGGGAAGTCAATGCCTGGATGGTAAAGGCCCCAAGCCAGTGTGGATGTAGGGAGAGGAGGGCTTTTTAAGGCAGGGGACCAAGTGCAGAGTGTATTTAGAACTGACAGGTATTCCCTGGGTATGTGGCTGCAATAACTAACTCAATTCTTCACTTTTAAATCAGATAATTTCCCCCAAAAGTTCAGCTCTCACAGAACTGGGTACCATGTGTCCTTTTGAAAAGGGAGAAACAGGACTTTGAAATAAGTGTAAGGTAGGTACCGGCAGGCAGAATTCCTCGAAGGCTGGCTTGACAAAGGTCGTGTACTGGGTCAGAATCTGCTCCAGGTCCCTCCCCCGGTGCACATCCCGGAGAACTGCAATAAGAGCAAGGTGCCAAGTTCAGACCTCAGGATTTGCAGCCACCCTCCACCTGGGCAGACAGGCCCTTGACCGCCTTACCTCTCCGTGACAGCCTGACATCAGAGTCTGTGTCCACGAAGAGGCGCAGGTGAAACATGTCCCGGATCTCCTGGCTATAGAACACCAAGATGCCCTCAAATAGGACCACGTCTGCAGGGTAGACCACTGTGGTCTCTGATAACCTGTGAGGTGCAAGATGAGGAAGTGGGCCTTGCTGGAGATACAGGGTCTCGGGGGCCTAATCCAATAGTTAGCTTCAGTCCCATCCCAGGATTGGGGGCTAAGGACAGATCACAGGGGCCAGGCCTGCACTGAAAAGTCTGTGTAAAAGCAGAGGAGATACCCGACTTGGCCCCTCTCCTTGAGCCTCCCAGGAACTACCTGCTTACCTTGAGTGGGTCACAAAATCATAGGTGGGGACTTCAACAGTTTTGCCCTCCACGATGTTTTTCAGAGTCCTATGCATCAAATCATTATCAAAAGCATCTGCAGGAATGGAGCAAAACCAAGATACACCAGCTGCTCTTATGCAGTGGACAGGAGGGGACCCCCTCTGCCCTGGGGTCAGTACAGCTGGGTGCAAGGGACAGCAAGGACCCTAAAACATTTAGACTAGGAGCTGCCCCTACAGTTTACATTTGGTAGCATCAGGACTCACTGCAGTCCTGCAAACCAAAGGATGAACCTGTCCTCACTGCCCTCAAGCAATGCCATTGCCCAAGCTCTGTCCCACCAGGAAGCTGGGACACAGGGGTTTTCTGATGGGCTGTCACTGAAAGTTGGGTAGGTTGGGCCTCCGCTTCTCTTTCTCACATCCCTGAGAAATGGCTGAAAATGACAGACATACAACTGGTAGTGGCAGGTGTCTCCCTGACCCATCTTCCTCCGTTTACCTGGTTCTTGACCAGACCAAGAAACAGCTTTGGAGCCACCAGCTCTAGTTTACCTATTGCTTCCCACACTACCCTCTCTGAGGACTTTGTCCCAGGGCACGCATGGAGCAAGAGGCCACAGTAAGCAAGTGTGGACAAGGGCCCAGTACAGCAAGGGGGAGGGAAATTGAGTGGATTTCCTCATGGCCACCACTGTGGCCCTGCAGTGTCCTGGCGTCCACTCTGTGCCACAGGCTTACTGACTAGCCAAGCTCTGGTGAGGGCACCCAGGGCCCAGTAAGCTCAGCAAAATTCTCCTGAGTGAACTGTGCAGCCCTCTCCACTGCAGGCTGGTGGGGAGTTTCTTTGCATCCCCATCCAACCCCTGGCCCAAGCAGAGGTGGGTGAACAGACCATCCAGCAGAGGTCTGCCCTCCTCTCCACAACCAGACACCATCAGGCATTCGATCTACCTGGGTGGTCAAAATTGTACTGCCCCTTCAAGGCCTTGGCCTTCTGCTCCGCAGTCAGGACCTTGTAGAACCTGTCCTGGCTCAGAATGACAAGCTTGCGCTGCCGGTGGTCCACCTCGTTCTGTCCCAGCAGCTCCATAATCTTCTCACACACAGTTGACTGAGGACAAAAAAGGAGGAGGTCCCCCTGGAAATTCTCACCCTGCACAGGCACAGGCCCTTTCTGGGAGCTTCTCCATGGAGCTGGCTGGAAACTCTGATCTACCCCTGGGGGCTGCCTGGCCGGCCGACCACAAATGACACTGATCTCAGTGGGAGAGGCGCGGGGCACGTGACGCGGGCAACGTGGAGTAGGGGTCCCCAGAGACCAGGCCAGAGGAGAGGCTTGAGAAGGGCCCAAGGACAAGCTCGCACGCCCTGCCTGCCTCCGAGTCGGACCTGGCCCACTGCAGCCCACCAGCGGCTTCGCTTCTCAGCCGCCCTCCCCGCGCCAGCGAGGAGGTGCCTCGGCCGGGCGCTGGGGTCTCCTCTCCGGATCGGGCCGCGCGGAGGCACTGGTCAGGGGCGAGGCGCCCAGCTGGCCGGCCCCTTACCTTCCCGCTCGCAGTGCCGCCGCTCACCCCAATCAGGAAGGGCCGCTGGTGGGGACGGTCGGCCTCCAGCGCAGCACCCTCGCAGTCGCCGCCTCCAGCCGAAGCCATCGCGGCCTCCTCCACCCCGCATCGGGTCCTCGCTCCCGCCCCTTCCCCGGAGCAGCCGGCGCGCCCGCCCCCAGCGCCGAGGTCTGACACGAGCCGAACGACCACTTCCGGGAGGGCGCGCGCGGGGCCCGGCGGGAGTCGTAGTCCCCTTCCACTGCGCATGCGTTCGGGGCGTGAGGCGGCCCCTAGTGTCCGCTAGCGGCTGCAGAGGACCAGCGTCCCTCCGCCTCGCAGCCAGGTGCAGGGGTCTCAGACTTGGAGCGGCCGCCCCAGCAGAGACCCGTAGCTGCCGTTTCTGCAAGGTTGCAGCCCTGACCCTGCCTCGCCCGCCCGCCCCCGGCCCCTACTGTACGCTCGCCACCCGAGCTTGTGGTCACAACCCGGATACCACCCCGCCCCTGCCGGAGCGTTTGGGGCCCCCAGCGCCTCTGGAGAACGTGTCACCCGTTGACATAGGCTCGCGCCAAGTGGGCTGTGAGCGCCAAGGTCCACCGCACTCCCGAGCGTCTGGCGTGGAGAAAGTGCGAGGCAAATACGGATCCCTTCAAGTGCATTTCCCCGCGGCGTCGAGACTGCTGCACGCCCAGCTCCTAACGCATCTGACGCTCCATAAATAATTGACGACGAAATTTGACGCAGGCGGGATTAGAGTAACGTGCAGACGTACGAGGCAACAGTTCCTGTCACTTCGCGGGTATCGGTCCAGCTCCCGCGATCAATGGGAGGGGGCGAGAGAGGACTCGGGCGCCTGAGTCCTGTGAACAAGGACAGAGGGAAGCTCCCTGAAGCGGCGGCTTCATGGGCTTGGCTGTGCCGCGCACAGGCCTGAGAAGTACCGCGGCAGGGTTGGGAGCTCGGCTCTGAGCGACAACTGGATTCAAACCTTGCCTTTGCTGAGTGACCTCGGGCGCTGATGTGACCGCTCTGAGCCTCTGTTTTCTCACTGCCAAAGTAGGGGAATTAAGGCGCTGAGATTCCCCTGCTTTAGGCACAAAAAGGCCCCAAGCGGAGGGCGTGGCCCGGAGGGGGCGCCTGTTCTGTGGCATTCTAGATTTGTCTGACATCCATCCATTCATCACAGGGCCAGTTATGACAGAATCTTACTCTGTCGCCAGATAGAATGAATGCTGTGGCATCATCATAGCTCACAGCAACCTCAAACTCCTGGGTTCAAGGGATCCTCTTGCCTCACCTTACCCCGTAGTTGAGACTACCGGCACTTGCCACAATGCCAGCCTAGTTTTTCTATTTTTAGTAGAGACGGAGTATCTCTTGTTCAGGCTGAGCTCAAGCAATTCACCTGCCTCGGCCTCCCAGAGTACTAGGATTACAGGCGTGAACCACTGCATCGGGCTTATTTTCCTGTTTTCTGGTGCTCTAGGGACCTTTGGGGACCTTACAGACCCCTGGACATACTTCCCTTCCCAGAGACAGTGTGTGTGTGTTTGGGGCCAAGGTCTTGGCCTGTGGCCCAGACTGGTGTACAGTGGCTATTCACAGGCAAAGTTATAGCTCATAGCAAACTTGAGCTCCTGTGCTTAAGCAACCCTCCTGCCTCAGCCTCCCAAGTAGCTGAGACTACACGTGCCCTGCCACTATGGCTGGCTAATTTTTTTTTTTTTTTTTGAGACAAAGTCTTACTTTGTCACCCTTGGGCGTCATAGCTCACAGCAACCTCAAACTCCTGGGCTCAAGCAATTCTCTTGCCTCAGCCTCCCCGTAGCTGTGACTATAGGTCCCCCACCCCTGCTTTGGGTCCTTGCTCCCGCCCCTTTCCCAGAGGGGAGCTCTACTCAGATTGGTCTTGAACTCATGAGCTCAGACAATCCACCCTCCTTGGCCTCCCAGAGTGCTAGGATTACAGGCTTGAGCCACCACCAGGAACTACCTACTTACCTTGAGTGGGTCACAAAATCATAGGTGGGGACTATGATTCACAAAATCATAGGTGGGTCTCACCATGTATCCCAGGCTCGTCTTAAACTCCCAGTCTCTAGGGACACTCCCATCTCAACCTCCCAAAACACTGAGACAGCCAGTTCTTAGAGCTAGCAAAGGACTATTCTGGGAGCAGGCTTTTCTGATGCAAACCGACCAATCCCAAGTCTATGGCCCCAAGTGTGTCTTTAACTTACTCTGGGCTTGGCACCTGTGGCTCAAGTGGCTAAGGTGCCAGCCACATGCACCTAAGGTGGCGGGTTCGAATCCAGCCCGGGCC